TGCGTCGTCCCCCCCGCCTCCGGCCAGGGTCCCGCCGCAGCCTCACCGTGCCCGGGAGGGTTAAGCCAAAGCATGCAAATCCTCCGAGCCTCAGCCACCCCGAAGCGAGAGCCTTGGCAGGGAAAGCGCCTCGGAGCAGCGGCGGCTCCGGCCGCGGAGGGAGGGGCCCCCAGGGCGGGATGCGGGCAGCCGAGAGCCAGCGTCGGGCCCTTCTCGGGAGGGTTTGAGGCATCGACTCCCCTTTGGTCATCAAATAAATATGCAAAGGGGCCTGCAAAAGCTGTGTCGAGGACGGGGACGCCCAAGGGAGGGTGCGCCTTTGCCCGCCGGGGGTCCCCCTCCCCCCGCCGCTCACAGGCGGGCGCCCGTCACCCCCTCCTGTGCCCAGCACCTCGTCAGGGGACGCGGCTGCTGGCGCTTTACACGAGCAAGCTCCTGCCTGGGAGGAGACGTCCCGCTGCAAAAAAAAAAAAAAGATGGGGGAAAAGGAGGGGCCGCATCGTCAGGAAAATCCCAACTTTGTGCTGGCGCTCGCCTCCCACCCGCCCCCGCACGCGTCCCCTCCGCAGGGTCCAGCTTGCAGATTCATCTTCTCTGGGAGATTAGCGACTAATCTCGCCTTCATCTGCCGTCTTTCTTATCGGGGGCCAGGCTGGGAAATTACTGAGTCCTCCTGGCGCTGGGGGTCTGGCCCCGGTGAGCCGCGGGGGACCTTCGCAGGGGGCTCCCGAAAGGCCGCAGCCAGGGGCGAGGGAGCAGGGACCCGGCAGGAGTAGGGGGACGCTTTCCAGCCCTTGCTGACGGTCCCGTCGCCAAGGGCGGACCGGGAGCATCGTCCCGAGGGCGAGAGCAGGGGGGAAACCTGCCGGGAAACCCCTCCTGCTCCTTCCCTCGGGGTCGGGGCACCCGCTCCTTCCGATTAAATCATCTCGAGGTAACCGTGCCTGTCATTGAGACAGATTAACGGTGACCTTCTGCCGCTGGAGCAGGATTGGCGGCCGCCCCCGAGCTCCCCTTCCTTCCCTCCCACCGGCTGCAGCGGCGCGGCGCAGCTCGGCGGAGAATTCCCGTCCACGGCCGGCGGGAAGATGCCTGGCAGCAGCCGGGGGGGGGCGGGAGCCGGGGGCCGGGGGCGGCGCCCGGCGGGCCAGCCGCTCCGCCTGCACGTGAGGTGGGTGCCCGCCTGGCCTGGGGGCGTGCGCGGGGCCGGGAGGTCTGCCCGGAGGCTGATGTCCTCCATCGCCGCGCCAAGGACCGCCGGCGCTGCTGCTCTGCGGTGGCAGGGGATGCTCGGGAGGAGGCAGAGCGCCCGTGCTCCCCATCGCCGTCCCCGTCCCCTGTCCCCGCGGGTCACTGCTCTCGGGTGTGTTTCCAGGAACGTGGCCTCCCACCGCATCTCCGCGGGGAGCGGGCTGGACTCGGCCCGTCCACGGAGCCCAGCTGTGGGGTCTGCATCGCTGTCACGGGCTGTCCTTCCTCCCGCCCCCCGGGGGCTGCCCGTGCCTGCTCAGAGCTCGTTAGAGAACTGGCGATTACGGCCACGTCCCGGGACAAGCGTGGAGCACAGCCGCGGGCCATCACCCAGAGCTCGCCCGCTGCCGGGGCTGCTCCCTGCTGGAGGTGGACGCCTCCTTCCCCGGCCTCTGCAATGCAATTACGGCCCCTAATAGGCTCAGCCATCTGCTGCCGTCCCGTAGCCGCCCCGGCACGGTTCCGTGGCCGGCACGTGCGCTGCCGGGCAAGGGCAGCCCCGCCAGACCCCGGCCCACGGGGATGCGGAGAGGGGCCGGAGCCCCGCACCGCCCTCTGCGTCCAAAATAACCCCCCGCTTTGTGTCCCCCGTGGCAGGACCCCCCGCCCAGCCCTGGGCTGAGCCCCCGCCCCGGCGCTGCCATGGTGCTCCCCTGCGCCCGCAACAGTGTCAGCGGCGGGCCCCCCGCGCCCCCGGGGGCCCCCGGGC